GGCAGGGTCGTGGGGGGTGGGGCCTGGAGGCCGTCCCAGGCAGGGCTGTACTCTGGCTGGAATGGCAGTTCATCACAAGGCACATGCATGCACTCACTCGCACACACAGTCACACACTATGAGCAAATTGGAGACACCGATGAGTCTAAAAGCATGTCTTCGGACTGCAGGAGGACACTGGAAAGTCATGTGACACGGGCGGACCATGGAAACTCCAAACACAGTGCCGAGGTGAGAGTCAGATCACCAGCTCTGGAGGCACAAGGCAACATGCTGCTCCACACAATCCAATTTGTCCTTATTTCAGTGACAGTGACATCCTAAGCCATGATCTAACAAAGTTAGTGAGAACAGGATTGTTTTATGAGGTAAGCTGCCAGTGACTATACCCCCCCACACACCTTAGTCCAGGTGCCAGTGCAGAGCAGCAGGGGTGGAGGGGTGGGCACATCTGTTAGCAAGCCCATGCCAGTTCTGAAGCGCAGTCACCAGCAGCTGAAACACTGAAGCTGCAGTTTACAGCTGGCCTCTTCAGCTCCTCCCAGGGTTGTAGATTCATGTCTTTTGGTCCAGCAGCATATCTATAAAATAGCTTGAATGTTGTTTTTCCTCCAGACAGTGCATTATTGTAACACCCTCCATATGTAGCCTGACATTATTGTAACCCCTGGTAATCTGCAGCAGCATGATCTGTGGGGACGTTGGTTCCTGTCATCACTCTCTATGCTTTATGGTATTATCTGACGAGTGTGTGTATGATTCTGGGAAAATCAGTCACACGTGTCTTAATTAAGATGGTAAACAGGCATAATCTGTATCAATTTGTCTCGCTAAAGTTGTAGAACTTCAGAAGATCCCAAAAGGCAATAGAATCAATGACCAAACTGCACCATTAATCATCATTAGGTCTGTGGGACTTGTTCCTGCCCAGGGACTGTGACATTTAATTCAGAATAATATTTCAGGTTAGTGGACTTGGCAGAAATGCTCCTGATTCATGCTTCTCAATCAGTTGGCCTGCGAAAGTGCCAATCCTCATTAGCAAACACTGCTGTCCATGACACGTGCGCATGCTTGAAGCACATATCGTTAGAAGTGGATTCATTAAAGGCGGAAGAGGCACCGCAAACCATCTGTCCACTTCTCTCTCTTGCTGCCCCCCTCTGTTCCTTTTGGCAGAGTAATTAGAAGCTGAGTCGGTGTTTTTTCAATGCGATACGGTGCTGAAAGCCACGTACGTAGTGCTGGGGGGCGTGTGTGGGGGGTGAGGTGGGCATGGCTTACAGGCTTGGCAGATACTGCTCTTCAGGTGCCCAGCTGCTGCAGACAGGGCATCCTCCTTCCTGTCGCTGTCCTTATAAGAGGCGGGCTTTCATCTTCAAGATTACAAACACTAAAGCCCTCGAAAACATTACTCTCTCTGTAGTCTGTAGTACTACCTTACGATCAAAAACCCTTTCATCTGTATTGGCATTTATGCTGCAGACAAGCACGGTAATTTGTGGACGCAGTATTTCGGTCATGCTGCATTCTGTGTCCTGCTGATTTTATATTTGTTGTCGAGTTCAAGTAATTTTTTGTAGTTTAAGGTTTTTGATCACAGGGGCTAACAATATTCTTTTATCAGTATATTAGAAGGAACTCAGGAGCTTATGCCCTCAAGCCATTAGATCACTAAACACCTCTGTGACAGTTAATTTAATACTCGTTGATTACATGTGCACCACACTCTTTGAGCTACTCCATATAGATACACAGTATTGGCACACGTGTCTTGATCATAAAACTCAGGTGGTTCATTCAGACGCATTGGCACAGATGTATAAAATCAAGCACCTACCCATGCAGTCAGGTGTGAAAACATTTCTGAATGTGAAAGAATGAGTTGTTCTGAAGAGCTTTGTGAATTCAAGCATGCTACTGTCATAGGATGCCACCTTTTCAATAAGTGAGTCTGTGAAATTTCTTCCGTGATAGATATTCCATGGTCAACTGTACGTGGTATTATTGCAAAGTGGAAATGTTTAGGAACAACAAAAACTCAGCCACGACCTAGCAGACCACTTAAAGTAACTGAGTGGGGTGACAGACTTCCTTTGGCATTAACTCCAGCACAAAACTGTGCGCCGGGAGCTTCATGGAATGGGCTTCCCTTGCCAAGCAGCTGCATGCAAACTTCACATCACCAAGCGTAATGCTAAGTGTCAGATGGAGTGGTGTAAAGCATGTCACCACTGGAATTTTGAGCAGTGAAAACGTGTTCTGTGGAGTGTTGAATCAAGCTTCTCTGTCAGGCAGTCTGATGGACAAGTTTGGGTTGGGAAGATGCCAGGAGAACATTACCTGCCTGACTGCACTGTGCTAACGGTAAAGTTTGGTGGAGGAGGGATGGGGTTGGACGAGGCCCCTTAGTTCCAATGAAGGGACATCTTAATGCTTCAGCCTACCAAGACATTTTGGACAAATCTATGCTTCCAACTTTGGGGAAGGCCCTTTTCGGTTCCAGCATAACTCTTTCCCAGTACACAAAATAAAGACATGGTAAGGTGAGCTTGGTGTGGAAGAACTTGACTGGCCCACACAGAGCCCTGACCTTAAACCCTTCAAACACCTTTGGGATGAGCTAGAAAGGAGACTGCGGGCCAGGCCTTCACATCCAACATCAGTCTCTGACCTCACAAATGCTCTTCAGGATGAATGGGCAAAAATTGCCAGACAAATGTGCAAAGCCTTCCCAGAAGAGTGGCAGCTGTTACAGCTGCAAAGAGGGGACCGGTTCCAGATTGATGCCTATAGATTTAGAATGGGGTATCATAAAAGTTCCTGGAGGTGCAACTGTCCCAATACTTTTGTCCATATAGTGTACAGTGCACTTTTTTCTTTCTTTTTTAGCATAAATTTCTGTTACTTGTTCATTATATAATTATGTTGCCATCTTCTTTTTTATTCTTTTATTGCTATTACTGTTTTTAATGGCAGTGTTGACTACCTTTAATTTCACTGCAGCTTATAGTCTATGACAAAAATTCTTGAGTATTAATCCTTACAGAAAGAAGCAGTGCTTCTGACAGAAAATTTTAACTTGGGCAAGTTTCCTTGTCTTTTTGGCTGGAAACCTACCATGGGGGTCTTGCATCAAAGTAACAAACAGCCCCGACCTTGTTTCCATTCGTGTATGTATGTTGTCATTTCAATGACACAGTGACATAATTTCCAGTGACTCCGACCGGCCACCATCCCTGCAGGGCGGGCTGCTATGAAACATGGACTGTGCTGGGTCTGGGCCCAAAGAAGCAGGCCAAGCAGAAGACCAGGTGCATGGGCGGCACGACGAGAAGTAGCAGGGAGTCGTAAAAGCGGCCTGCTAATCTTCCAGGCTCTCACCAATCTCCCGGTGCGCTGGCATTCACACGCACGGCATGAGTATGACATGACATCAGCGGGTCACATGGACACAATAACTGTGGCAGGGAGCTTGCGGGCGACAAGTCTGAAAGTTTTGAAGGTGAAACTGAAATGGAAGCAGCTTCAGCTTTCAGCTCAAAGGAACAAACAGCCCAACTTTTATATAGAAGCTATGGTGGCTGACCTTCAATGATAATTGTTCCCTTTGCAAACTGCAGCATGTTTAAGCTGTGGCTGTAGCAGTACATCTTCCTGGCCCTCATCACCTCCATGCACCAGTAGGCTACTGCTGAGTTTGTTTAAAATCCTTCTGTTCAGGCTGATATGTGTGACTGGTTCGGACTGCAGCCCAGCAGTGATCCATCATTATGGGGCCCAGCTTGTTGCTTCTTCCAAAATGTGTTTAGTTATTTATCTGACTTTGTCTGAATGGCCTGTTGTGAAGAGAATATTGATCATGATGGTGAGATCTCGTTACTAGCAGAAAATTCACATGCTGTTTATCAGAAGGGGAAGTGAGCTTCCCTGTTGTGCCTGTTGTTGAAGGACAGTCAAAAAGCAAGACAAAGGACAAATTCTGCCTGGGCCGTCAAAGCAGACTAAAACAATGAAAACCTATAAATTTCCCACTGGTTTTGATTGTCAACTAATTAGGTTGGCAAAAGAAAAATGGATGTTTTTCTCCAATCAGTAGGACAATTTAAAATACAATTGTTTTTATTTTGTAATGCTGCATTTTTGTTTTGTAATATTGATGTTAAAATGAAAAAAATTGCTGGAAACATACGATTTAACTTGCAATGTCTGTAAAAGCTCCTCAACTCTATCATCTGTGGACAGTGTCCTGGAAAGGCTGGCAGCTGTTGCTGCTGCACATGTTTAGCGTGAACTCAGGCTGAATGTTTCTACCCTTAAGTTGTCCTTGTCGCGTTCAGGTCCTGGGTTATGACTGTGTGCGGTGAGTGTTAAATGACAATTATGTGCCGTGTTCACTGCTATATCCCAGGGGTCATGAGGTAGCAGCCAGGGAAAGCAGTAATGTCAGGAGGAGCCACCTTGACTTCTGGATGCAGGGATGAGGGAAACAGCTGGTTAGTTCCACCTCCCTCAGCATGCCAGCAGAGATTCCAGCTGACTCCCTTGTATTCCACACTACACAGGTTTGACTGTGGGGAAAACAGCAGCACAATAGCACAAACGGTTTAGGCCTGTCCTTATGAACCAAGCAATGGATTGTCCCCCTCTGCTAAATCACCAATAGGTCCTTAAACTGGTTGTTGGGACGTGTTACAGGGCCGCCATGTGTTAAGCAGTGTTCATAGCCATGGATGGTCACTCTATGAAGGAGGTGTTAAGCTCTGAGGTGGCTGCTTGCATGTAATACATAACAGTGTTAATACCTTGCCTATATCAGTCTCCTCAGAATGAAACAATGGCACGTTCAATAGCAGCACTATGGGCCATTAGCTCTTTGGAAGATCAGCCTTGAAAGATCTGTAAGTCATCTGTATTTTTTTCCCTTTATCCCCTTATATCCAGTGAGACTCGGTGCAATTGGCTACACATGCTGCATTCATTCAAACTTACAGCACCAGTTCAAGCAGAAATATTTTATTGCAAGTGGGTTCTTTATTTCCCCCCTCAAAAGAAATACACAGGTTAGCAAAGCTACTACATACAAATGGCCATACAACAGCATTTATTCCCATTGTTGACTTTTTGACTTTTGAATGGTGATTTCTTAGCAGTTTAATTGTATTGTGAATATTTGCAGTTGGGTTGCTGCAGTTGGAGAGAAACTGAATAGAATTTACATGTCCCTTAATTTTAAAACAAAAGCCACAAAACTAACCTTGATACATCTGCTTGTCGCTAATCCAGGAAAACTACAGCACTACCATACTAGAAAGAACAGAAATGGTTTTGCATAGCTTTGTCATGTCAGTAAGGCACTTTGATACTTGATAGTAGGCATTTCAAAGCATGTTCAACCCTTTAGCTCAACTTCATTTAAACTGTTTTTCATCTGATCAGGCAGAGTGACAGTTTAAATATTACAACACTGTTTATAAATCTACGCATACAACCATTTGGCATAAGTCTCAATTTCAACATTCTGTGAATATTGAAGTGGTAATTCTTGTGCATAATTAGGACAGAGATTGAAACCTCATTCCAAAACCCTACACAATCCAGTGTTTGTCAGAGACGAAAAATTTTATGCAACGGCTCAGTATTATTCATAAGAAAGGCAACATGTCAAAAGAACAGACTGTTCCCAAAAAAACAAAAGTTTGTATCTTTTTTGTAAGTTTTGGTACACTGAAATGTGGCACTGTACCATAGAATAAAATGGAAATATTTAATGCTGATACAAGATGGTTTCACTTAAATACAAAATAATAGTATGACTTTTGCATCTGGTCTCTCTGATGATCGAGGGCTTATGTTCTCTTAAGTTCAGATGTTTGAGGATACCTGTGGTGCAGTCGTAGAACAGTTTGGAGGTTCTTTCATGGTGTCTGTGTGTTTCTTCAGCAGTTGACAGGGAACTGAAGATACAAGGTCTGATCTACCCCAGCTGGTCCTCGTACTGCTTGCGGAAACAGTCTCCGGCAGGGAAGAAGTCCCAGCATCTCTCCTGATACATCTTCCACACGTACGACTCCTGGAGACATCAGAAGATTATATTAACTTACAGAGCAACCACAGTGTTAAACAGGGACATTGTAGATGTGACTGTTCAGGGATCTGTTGTTTAATTGTGAAGAGTTTTGAACTGTGTATATGGTTCGGTCAAAAAAACGTATAGCGACTGCTCTCTAATTCTGCTTAGTATAGAGCAACTTAGACAGCCTGCCTGTGTTTCTAACACTAAATTGTTTTGTGCTGAAGTTCAGCAGCGCAGAGGTGACTGAAAACCCAGGTATCTGGGCAGCTTAGTGACTAGACAGCATTGAAGGTGTTCCAAAGTCACTCCATGATGGCACCATCAGCATAAGTGGACCCCCATTCCTGTGCTTTTTGCTAGCCAAAGACAAAGCATGCTTATCATAGTGATAGAATGAATCACTTCCATTTATTCTGTCAATATTAAGGGCATTTGACCCCCACAAACTACTCTACTTTTACTGGCATTATCATTACCTTGACTGTCAATCTAACAACTGTAGTTCTGATTTTTTTGCATATAAGCAATTACATTTATATACATTACAGACAGTAAGTATGGAGAACTGGGCCTATGTACCTGACCAGTGTGCTCCGTCTCATCCTTGTTGACGAGGTACATCAGGAAGAACCTGCCAGCACAGGGGAGGGATCAGAGCATGGCAGCAGGCAGTTGTTAACCAGAGTGAAGCTCTACAGAAGTGTTTCTCAGACCCGTCTTTGGGGACCCCCAGACGGTCCACATGTTTACTTCCTCCTAGACGGGCCACATTTTTGCTTCCTCCCAGCACCCAGCAGCAAAAATTTGGTCTGTCTGGGGGTCCCCAAGGATTAGTTTGAGAAATACTGCTGTACAGCATCCAGCTTATACATCGGTGATCTCTAAAGTAACCTGGGCATTTTAAAGTCACTTATTATCACAATGCCATTACGTTCTATTGGAGTCATTCTGTCCTGCCCTACTTGTGCTTTGAATGAGTGTGAAAGTGTTTCTGTAGATCGGTAAGCTCCTGGGTGACTCCAATTTGATCAAGCTGCTGTTGTCAAGGAAACTGCAAAAACGGAAACTGTTTCCCCACTGTGGATGTCTAATAGCTTCAGCCTAAAGGTATCTATAACAACACTAGATGAATATTTGCTAACGGTGCGCCATCACTGCGGATCCCTTGGAGAGGCAGTGCCACACATCTGCATGTAAAAGAACCCAACAGTCATAACCATCACCAGCTAGCGCACTTACAGAACCAGGGGTTTGTCTGTAGCACAGAGATAGTTACTGCACATGATGCACCTCTTTGATCTTGTGGGGCAGCTGTGTTTTCGGGCAGATTCAACATTACCACAGACGTGCAAAACACAATCTAAGCAGGGTCAACCAGTTGTAATATCTGGACTCAACAGATCCAAACTGTGCACTGCTATGTACTGGGTTGATGACAGGTACTCACAGGTAGTTAGCCAGGTTGTGCTCCTGTAAGGTGTGTGTCTCAAAGCCATGTGGTGTTGTGTCAAAGTAATCATTTCCAATTCCACAGATGAAGCATTTGGTCTGGGTTTAAACAAAAGGACATGGATTGCATGAATAATAGATAAAGATGTAAAATCGTAGCTTTTGCCAAGTACCAAGCACACATTAACATTTTGATTTAACAGAAGTGATCTAGAGAGAGATTTCTTGGCAAGACAGGTTACATCTCTACACACTCACCTCCATGTCTTCTTTCACTTGTTCCTGTTGATCTCTCAGCTCTCCAAATGCATCAATGATTAGACCTGTTTCCGCACACAAACCGCTTAGGATGCATGAAACGGCAAGAATTTCACTGAGAAATCATCTGATCGAAATGTGAAATTGCATGAATGTCAGCGTGATATTTTTGGAAGGGAGCTGGGACCATGCATTACAGAACCTCAGTGCGAATTCTCTTCTCCACCCCACCAGGTCCTGCAAGTTAACACTGTGCAGCCAGAAGGTCTTCCTGGTAAGCAGAGATTGACAGAGCCCCATACCTTGGATGATGGCCAGCAGGATGACAATGACAAAGAAGAAGAAGGTGATATCAAAGAGGATGCGGTAAAGCTCATAAGGGTCGCCTGCAGGGTCCTCGATTTCATCTCCGATGCCACCACCGGCCCTCACGCCCACATACATGTGGAACAGGTAGCACTGAAGGGGGAACAAGATGGCTTTAATGACACTGCTCATATTGTCCAAAACAAACTACAATTCTTATTTACATTTGCACATTTTATTTAGCAGATGCTTTTGTCCAAAGCAATGTATAACTAAGGATCAGAGACCAGGCTCAAACAGCATCCCTACAGCAATTGGGTTCATACGCCCTGACCAGGGAGCCACTGGCAAAATCGCTCTGCCAATCGTGGTATTTGAACTGGTGACCTTGTAATCACAGGTAGGGTGAGCCACTCAGCACTTATTGACTCTTTGAGATGGAAAGGATGCAATAATTTCTTCTGATCCTCCCAGGAAAGTGAATGAGAGAGTTATATGTCACGATCCTATATGGGTGAATAGTGAAGACACCTGCCTAGATAAATAAATGGTCTGTTTTTATCTGTTTATCAGTAATGTGGAGCAGGAGTGTGTAGGAAGAAATTTTATGGAGAATAACAGCCACCATTGATCCAAATACTGAGTTCAAGTGTACCAACGTCCCCTTCAACCTTTCAAGGCACCTAACCACTTTAGCTGCTGTACCACAGCGTTTAGAAGAAGGAGATAACTTACGGTCATCATGTCATCACACTTCATGTCTGGTTCATCTTCATCCTCGCTCTTGTTGTAGAACTTGCGGAAGAAGTTGAAGGCCACCACAGTGTACAGGTACACCACCACTGCCAGCAGCCCTACCGTCAGCACCAGCTATTTTAAGGGTGGAGAATTGTGATTAATGCATGGCTGCTGTACAATACAAGGCTCACAGATGTGTGTCTTTAGCTGCTGGAAGACAAGCTTTTCTTACCTGTTTGCCATTATGAGTAACTGAAGATAAGATGGTTCTCAAGGTTTTGAAGCCCATAGCAATGTCCAACAAGTGAGCAGCAAAGAAGAAGTTGTTGTAGTGTCCAAGGATTGACATGGTGGTGTACCAGACCAGGTAGAGAAAAGGCTGCAACACGACCACATAGTTATCAGCAACATCCGGTGAGCAACTGGGGCCTCTGGTGGAACAGAGGAGATGTACTCACGTTGTCTGTAAAGACCACACCCATTTTCCAGATGTGGTATTTGGTGTCGATGGAGCTGAGCCTATGGCAGAGGAGAAGATGAGAAAAAAAGTTATTGGATTGTTTGTCATCTATCCACTCCACCAAATCACAGCTGTCTTTATTAAGGTGGAGGGTGTAAGATTCCCTGCAGGTATGAAGTCACTTACCATGAGACCAGCGAGGCCTCCTTAACTACAGCCTCCTTGGTGGGGTTGAAGTCCAGAGCACTCTTATCCAGACCCAGCAATTCAGCTATCCTCTCTGCCCCATAAAGATCTCCATACTTATTGATCACCTGCAAGCAATGGCAATGAGCTGTGTTAGAGGGTAGGGCGACTTAACAAATAAAACACATTCTGGCTTTTAACTAGGAAAAAAAGTCTTAATTGTAGTAACAGTGTAAGCATGTAGTAAGTGTTATGTAAATATACTTTGCCTTGAAATACTGTGATAATACTGTTAGTGGCTTTAAACTGGTCACTAAAGGGTCAAAAATGTAATGTGATAAATTTAAGTTTAACTTACCTTGCGTTTAACAAATTTGTCCCAGTAGTTGTTGGGAAAAGAGCTATAAACAGACAAGAATTATAAATGTGTAAGTCTCCTTGTGACTCCAGCAGATTGGCAATAAGGGGTAAGTGGGCAGTCAGCTGTGTTTAACAAAACAAGGACCCAAAATGAGGATTATGCCTGGGGGGGGGGGGGGGGCTTTTTTCCATTACAGTGCAAACTGACATGTACACAGCCACTCCACACAGGGGGTAGACACTTCTGTCTCTCACAGACAGCAGCTTAAATTGAGGCCACTTCTTCACAAATAGGGATCATGCAGTGGGTATTGAAAGGACGTACGGGGTGTTGATGACCAGTCGATCCCACTGTCCTTTGATGTCATCATCCGAGGGCTGCTCAGTGATGTACAGGCCATCAAACTCCAGCTTCCTTGCGATCTCTTTCTCACGCTTAAACACCACCAAGGGCACCTTGGAGTAGAGGTTATTCAGGGGTTAATCAGGAAACACTTGGCCGTGTAATTTAATCCTCACATCCGGCTTTTAGAAAAGTGGGTCACCTTAAGGTAATAGTATCCCACCACACACAGGAAAGAGATGACTGTGTGCAGGATGGCCAGGAAGCGGAGAGTGGGTGCCATGTACCCAGTGCTCTCCTGCAGCACAAAGTACTCCGTACCGCCTTCCTCATTTTCATCATCACCATTCCAGGGATCTGCCTCCTCATCCGAGTCATCGCCTGTGACCTTAACACAGCATACATTTACAGCCACAAGAGGCAAATATGGCTACACTGCCCTCCTAGGCTGAGTAGGCAGGCCTCGCACAGACTGAAATGTCAGCTGTAATTCTGAAAAAATGCCAATATGTTGCACAATCTACATTTCTAAAAGCAGACTATGACACGTTGAATAGAGAAGTAGCTGTTTAATCTAACAGTAGGATTTACATACTTAGTCTGAGTTACCTTATAGAAGAGCAGAATGAAATTGATGGCAAAGGCAACAAACAAAGCCAGGAGACGGAGATTGTAGAAGTTCCTGGCCAGATAGTTCTGTAAAGACACAAGTGCATTTTACCATCAACCATGCAGAGAGCTCAACATGTTGCCTAATGAAAAATTAAGTGTTTTATGAAAACAAAAACTCACAAGCATCTTGGTCTGGTAGACCTCCAGTCCAGCGAAGAAGCTGGCCATGAAAGCCTCGGGTGCCTCCTTCTTTTGATCTCGTCTTTTCTTGGGGACCTTCTTCTCCTCCTCCGTGGCAGGCTCAGATGGCATCTCCTCTTTGGCTTTGTCCTTTTTCTCTCCATCCTCTGTGCTGAATTGGTAAAACGCCACAATCCCACAGAGTTAGAGAGCAACAGGGCATCACAACAGACAGCTCTGCTGTGGCTGAGCCGACACTCACTCTGCCTTCTCAGGCTCTGCTTTCTGATCGGTCTCAGCGGCCTCGATGCCAGCAGCCTCCTTCTGTGGAGAGCACAACCCCCCAGGCCAAAGTTGTTTAAAAAGAAAAAGCCCCAAACTGCTTATACTGAGACATACCAGCATATGGAGCTTACAGAACATGCAAGATCAATTTAAAATTAAAACTGACTTTTTGCTTGAATAGGGTAAAAAAAAAAAAAGCTAGTAACATGCACCAACAAGTATAGTACGATAGTTCTTTGTCCCCTATGAAAACACTGCTGTGATAAATGCTTTAAAGCAACACTGTACATCATTCCTACAAAAGCCAGCCACAACTACTTTCTCCTTACACACTAAAGCTGACAGGCCACCCTGCATTTGATCTGTGGTGTATTTAGGACACTGTTGCCTGAGCCACCCATAAGCCATGTGGCTGGTCATGACGTGTCAGTATCATTCGCAGTAAATCAGTGGACACGTGCCTGAGCTTTTTTCTGGCGCACAGCACTTGCAATGGAGGGCGCGTCAGAGCCAACAATCTCAGACACGTCGCCTAAGCCAGGCTCCAGTGCATGCTTTCCTCCTTCCTTCTTTGGCTGGATATTTAATAGCTCAGTCATAAGGTCGGCCTCCACCTTGTCTCCTTTAGCCATCTGTACCAGCTCTGCTGTAGATGATAGATCACCAGGCTCCAGCTTCTCTGCCTCCAGCACATCACCATGGATACCAAACTGTGTGGGATCAGGCATGTTTCCCAGGATGTCCGTCACTTTCATATTCTTAGCCCCCTCTACAAGGCCTCCTCCAAACATGGAAGTCCAGAGGATGTGGAAAAAGCCCCAGACCAGGTTGAACATGAAGTAGAAAATGCCAGTGAAAATCATCCAGAAGAAAGAGAAAAACCCTTTGATCATCTCCTTCACAGTCATTTTTCTTAACTTTTTATATCGCTTTCGCATGCTTCTGATGGTCAGCATCTGACGGAAACTGCACAGGTTTTTCTTCATTGAGGCACAGGCAATGGAGAAGGCAGAGGATGACTCGAGTGCATGCTCTTCATCCTCCTCCTCCAGCTCCTCCAAAAGACTATGTAAATCTTCCTCATCATCCTCTGGTCGCTCCACTGCATCTGGTTCTGAGATCTGTGAGGCCAGCTGCATCTCAAAGATGGTGTCCTCACAGAAGTTGACAAAAAGCTCCATCTTTTCACTCTCACCACCCTCATTGACAACATCAAAGATGAATTGTCGCTTAGATTCCTTGACCTGGGGTTTCTCCCATTGGGTCCTACTGGACTCGCTGATCTCAAAGTAGACCCTCTCAATCCTTTTAGCACCTCCCATTATCTCAATGCGCCCCAGGTATGGTTCAAAGTAGCTGAGAACGCTTTCAGCGAGGTCGAGGAAGGTACTGAGTCGTGAGTCATGGGGCATATGTTCTGAGAGATTGGTGAGGAGCACAGCCACATTAAAGCCAATATCCTTGGCAGGCTCATGGAAACGTTCCACAAACTCCTTATAATTAAACATATCATTCTCATCAGCCTCTGCACAGGAAAGAAGGAACTCAATCTCTGACTGGGAGTACTGCTTTTGATTCTCCATGGATTTTTGGAATTCCTTTTTGGAGATTACACCCTTGCTTTCAGGATCATATTCTTTGAAGTTGTCAGAGGTAGTCAGGTCCTTCAGTTTGAGGAACATGTCAAAGAACTTCAGGATCATCTCTACGTTGCTAGAGGATTCCACCAAGGTGTCCACCATCTGCTTACCAATTGTTCCATTTACCACGTTTCCTGTGAAACAACAGCAAAGGATATTGACATACATGTACAGTGTAATCACCTTACACCCTGTATAGAAAAGCTATCAACAATTTGAATCAGGGATTAATGAAAACATGAAGAATCTGCCCATTGAGATAAGAGCAGCTGCTATCACTAATGACAATTTTTAATTCTCATTTCCAGTTCTTCTGCCATACAGCCTAACCTTCCAGAAGAGACAACAGCATGACTATCATATCCTTCTGCAAGTCCAGCAGTTCCTTCAGTAGCTTGATCTGGCTTGAGTCCTACAGAAAAACAGAAACCACTTGACGACGACGTGTATTTCAAAACTGCGAGCAGACAATCACATTTAAGTGTTTAATAAACCTAATTTGAACGGTGGGTGAAATTCAGGCTATTTTTCAAAAGATGAGTCTCATCTGGTCAGTGCCATCCATCAGCACATGCTAATGTCATTCTATTCATCAGGAACAGGTGGCGGGGAAGGCCTGACTCAGTTTTGGGCTACCTCGAAGTCCAGCTCCCAGCAAGAAATAAAATGTAGGCCAGCACTTTACTCAGCAAAAACAAGTGTGCTCAGACTGTCCTGTTGAGCAAATTCAATCTGTGAGGTCTGCTCTAAATGGCAGTGAGATTTATGCTCACAAAACCCTTGGCCACTTGGGCCACATGCTATAGGAGTAATGTAATAAGTGTACACTGCTTCTGATAACTGAAAAACACCCTCTGTTTAAGAATTGTTCAAAGGGAGACATCTAGTGGTAAATTTGTAAAAAATACACTGCTGCATTTCAAATGTTAGTAGTTAACTACTGTATTGATTTATTATACTCTGTTCCATCTATGGTAAAGCCATAGAAAAGATATAGAGAAGAATAAGGACAATACCTGTGACAGCTTCATCTGCATGTTGGCAAAGACATGTAGAAAGCCCACCACTGCGTCCCACAACCTGCTGTGAGCCAAACTTTGCTGGTTCCCAATACAGGGGCCCTGCAGCAGAAAGGTTTGCCACAGCTGTGTTCATTATGGGTTCAAGTTCAATATGAGATAAAACTTGTATATTACTACACGAGACATTGCCATAACATTCCGTCACAGGGGCATGTTAGTATTGAGAAAGGAGCACAAACTATACTTGAGGATAACCCCTAATGGTATGTATGGATGGATGGATGGATGGATGAACGGACGGACGGACGGACAGACAGACAGAATATTTATTGTCATTATACTAAGTAAAATGAAATTGGATGCAGTCCCTTCAGTGCAAATTAAGCATTTAAACACATACACAAATAGAATGATTAAATTCATTTAAAAATTGGATGTTTATATTAACTGGGTTAAAATGTAAAAAAAAGATAAATTATTCAATACTATAACACAATAAAAAATTACACAAAAATTTATATTGACTTATATTTATATGAGACAAGGAGGGTGGAAGCCCATACCTGGATGTACTCAGTGAGGGAATTGAAGATCTGTCGGGCAACGGCCAAGGCTTTGGAGAAGTTACGTTGGCCAGTTTCATCCATGACATCCTTTCCAGAATAGTACCAGTAAAAATCGCTGATGGATTCCTTCAGGGACAGAAGATCAGAGCAATGGAATGTGAAGCAACCACTGCAGTCTGCGACTGAAAAGTTTTTCCTAGTTATGTGTTTTACCTGCAGCCGAAGCAGATAATCCACGGTACTGATGATTATGTTAACGGTGGTGGTGTTTCCAGTTTGGGTACGCAGGAAATTCTGGAAGTCTGTGCAGTTAAGAGAAAAAGGAGAAGGAAAAATGACCTATTCTAATTAATTAATGTACCTGATAAAGACTGAATAACATGACTTGGGACAAGTTAAAAAAAATCTGCCTATATTTTTCTGCCACATTTAGTTGTGGTCGTTGGGCACAATTAACTTAAAAAAAAAAACCTTGTGCATGAATAAGTGGTACCTGGTACCTACCGTTATTGTGACCTTCACAGAGAAGTTGCAGGAACCTAAAGAGATCCTTTGTGAAATCGTCATTCTGCAGTACCTTAGAGCCTTTGGAGACAGAAGTGTTCTTTGATTAGCACTGGGAAGAATATTAGACCTCATAGGTCTGAGGATATCTGGCACAGGCAGGTTATTCTAGCAAAACGTTGACGTCCAGCTTTTGCTTGGTAAGCATGTGAGCTTTGTAGGGTAAAAGCTTAGAACTACCACTACAGATCAGACTGTATCACTACTGGGAGAGCAACAGTAAAGAAACTGCATTGCAGGGGTTTGTCCTTTCTGATTCACACATACAGAGGTGTATTCATTTGTATTAAAGTACCATTTTTATTATTTCTGGTTAGTATTGTTATAACAGGAAAAGGTTTCCACACAAATCACAAGCACAAATTTAGTATAGTGGGTGAGTCAGTGAGAGTCTTTGTCTATGTCTACACATACTACTCTCAGCATGCATATTTTCCTGCAGATCACAGCAGGACTAACACATCCAAGACAGGGAGGAAAGGGGATGGGAGTGCAGAAGTTGTAATGCCAGCATTCGGGACGGCAGCATTGCGAAATGAGGAGAATCTAAACCGTGTATTTACCCTGCTCACTCACGTTGACTGCGACCGATGAGAAAAAAAATGACAAAGAAGAAACAAACAAACAAAAAAGCAGACATAAGCAAGGGAGAAGACACTGAATTTCAATAAGAAGTAAGAGAGAGAAAATTGACATCACTTTCCAGTATAGAGACATTGACATGCGCTTAAGAGAGTCTCAAGTACAAGTTCTGCACAGATCGGCAGGTGTTTGACTGGAGGTGAAATACAGTACAGGACTCAAGTCACCATCACTTATGCCTGATTTAATGAGGTGGGAAAATGACGAAAAACACATAACACAATTGTCAATGAAAACAGATGTCAAAGAACCCAATGAAATATCTTCTGTGAACAGATTACTAATGTTTTTTTTTTCGTGCTACTCTTAACAGGTGGTGCGGACAAAGATAAACTCCTGAGGGTAACTGAGGATGGCATGGTGATGAGTATTTCTGTGAAAAAGAAAAATGCAACGGGATCAGCTAATGCTGACTGATGTGTCTGCATCCCCAAGCCCCTTAGATGAGCGGTGCGATGGGATCAATTTCAACAGGGCAAGTGCATTGAACACGTCTGGCCTGGTATGTAAGCTCTGTAAAAGTGCCCCACATTCCGACAGAGAAATATACTGCCAGTGCACTGAAATCTGGCTGGAAGAAGACAGACAAATGGCACTGAAGGGAGTTTTGGAGACTGCAGGGAGGGTCTGTATTGATTGAAAAACTTCAGCTAACCAGGGGCACTATGCTGAACCCTTAAATGAGAATTTCGCTGGCAAGCTCAAGCTGCAGCGTGTTTTTCTTTCTGCCAGGTATCAGAGGGCTGCTGCATTGTATTGAAGTGTCAGGAGTGTTTCCATTCAAAATATTAAGCAACTTTTTCACAAAATTCGTATGAGCAAATATAAATCATCTTCTCTGGAGGACTACAGTTATGTTTCATGAAAAAAAAACGTGCTTAATCTATAGATATTTTTCTTTAGAATTGCTGTTATTCATAAATAACCTTTTCATTCCAATACTATGCCTTTCCAAAGCTATTCACTAAGCAGTTCCTCAAAGAAATATGAATCAAAATTAATGATTCATGTTAATTCTCCAGCTCATGTGGCAGCCCTTTAAAAGTTAATATATTAATTGTTATATATGAATCCATGGTTTAAGCCATGATTAAAGCCAGTCCATTTAACCTCTGTGCTTTGTCTACGAGTGTCACATCTATTTAAATGTGGTGTGATTTCTTGAGTTGAATCTGTACCTGTAGACAAGACAACAAAATGTTAATGAGACAACACGGAGCACTGTCTGTGGGGCAGGCAGTAAGGGTGTGCCACAAAAAGAAAAAAATGCATTACAGGGATAATGCAGTTTTATACTTGTTTCTGCCGTTGTGCAACTCAGTCCTTGAAGATCAAAAGAGAGTTACCTGCTAAACTGGGATCTCGTTATTATGGTATATTATGGTCGCCAAATCCGTATCTATGACTTTGCTTAGGCTGCAGTGCTCAGTAACTGTAAAAAACCATCATGTGCTGGCAGAAATATATAAAACGAATTTACTGCATTTGATTAAATAAGTTACATAACAGATGGTAGCTCAAGTTGCTAGAAGCCAGACTGATTACAGAAGATTTGGCTCAGGAAGCAGTTTTCTATTTGGTGCCTTTAAAAGTTTGAGCATAAGGGCTCTGAGGCTCTGAAATGTGAAGTATGGTCAGAAATTACAACAGGGGCAACTAAGACAGACTTCTACAGAGGCACCTAAGATAAAGCTATAGAGGAACCTAAGACAGACCCATAGAGAGGCAGCTCTTCCATCAGTCTCCTGCCCTGGGTGGTTCCCCACACTTACTTGAACCTTCCTCAGTCACCATTCCCAGACCTTCTGCTTTGTTCTGCCTTTCAAATGCATTCAAATCCAGGACACTGAAGATTAAATAAAATACATAAAAGATTATATAGAATCAGTCTGAAGGAAGCAAACTACAGTTTGCTCCATGTGGAAAACCCTGCTCTTCTGATTGGTGAACAGGCCCACGGGACACTTGGTGGCTGGAACGGAGCCCATTTTAGCGGCACCCTCAGGATCTTCCAGGATGGCAAACCCAGCAAGTCACAAAACAAGTTAGGCACTCTAACGTAAACTAAACATGAGCCTAATCTCCCTCCCCACTAACACAAAATGAGCTGCTTTATATCTAGGAAAACTGGTTCATGGCACAGAGGACCCCCAACCTCACACATCTCCTGAAACATCCACAGGCTCCCTGTTTCTGACACTCCTATATTGAGTGAAATCAAGACCAAGGGTACAGCACCTGCAAGACTGCATCAGTCCAGATAAACTCTTGAAGAATCCAGCATCTCTTTTCTCCTTTAGGTAATCCAGCATTTTCTGCAAAAGGATAGGTACAAATTTCTCTAAATATAATACGGCACTAGAAAATATACAACCCACAAAGAGGAATAAGATTTAAAATGAAGGGTAAAGGGTAAAACGCCTTTCTGTAGTTAACATGATCACTGTCTGTGAGCATCTGTACCTGCTGGACAAGCACGTTTCCCCCATTGAGAATGGAGATGCCCAATTTCAGTGTGACTGTGACCATAGGACCCAGCCGGCCTGAGGAAGCAAAGGAGAACAGCCTGGTCAAGTACACCCCATGTGGACTATTTGTGTACATGTGCCTCTTTCTGCCCGTACCTTTACTGGCACTGATCATCTGCAGAACCATCTGAGCCGCCCCTCTGTCATGCAGCCTGGCCTGCTGGTAGAGAGTCCTCTGCTTCTCCATCTCCTTCTCCTACAGCCCCCAGGCACATCACATGGTACCACTGGACTCATTTTGCAGACTGTGCTACAGCTGTTCTAACAAACCTGTTCTAACCACAGAAATATTTACCTCAAAGGTCTTCTCTTTCTCCTCATCCTCTTCTTCTTCTTCACTTTCGGCACAGCTCTAGGGAGGAAAAACTTATGAAATTGCTGAGCATGGCCGCCCCATTAAAGGCACTGCATTATCTTTTCTTGTTACCTTTGCCATCATGTCAGCGTATGCGATGTATAAAGGGTCCTCTTCCAAGTAACTGGAGGGAGGAAAAATACTTATACATGAGAAGCAAAGGCAAGTTACCAACAGATCATATAGGACACAATCTCTGAGCTTGTGTGGGAATGAGCTGTGAGGCCTTATGCATCATGTGTCCGTGTGCACATGTAGCCTGCAACCTATGCCCTGGTTGTGTAGAGGTGTGTGAGCGAAAGTTTGTGTCTGTCTATGCCGAATTTGGGAGAGTTTACAAGCACCTCACCTCCGCTCTGTGAGTGCATTGTGACTGAAATGAAGGATAAGCTGATGAAGAGGGTCTGGCTGCATCTCTGTTTCCTCCTCCTCTTCCTCCTCCACCTTCATCTGGATCTTCTGCACACATATCCAGAGCCATCAGCATTTTTTAAATGGCCCCTCAGACAGAATTCTGTGTATCGTGTTTTGAATAGCATTCAGTGAAATTAATTCTGATTAATTAAACCCTCTTCAGCCGTTTTCTGGTTCATGGAATACCATTAATATCCATATTTCAAAGAAAGGTAATGTTGAAAAATACATTATAAATCTCAGGAAAGCTTCACTACAGTCTAAACAAAACAGATGCAAATCTCACAAACTGCACACACAGATGCCAAAGCAGAACAACCAGTAACTACACTTTAACTACTCATTTTGGTGCACCATGCACAGAGACCTGCATCATTACGTTTAAATAATTATACATTATATGACATGAATAACTTACCTTTGAAAAATGGATCTACCTTGTTTAGTTAAATATATGCTACTTTGTGAGGCTGATTCCAATCAAATGAGAGCTTTGATATGATATCGGGAGTTTCTGTAAAGAGGAGGATAGAACTGGATGCTCTTACATGCATGCACATACAGTATATTCACACACAGCCTCGATGAACATTCAGTGAGTTGACACTATAACACAAAAGGTCATGAGTTGTCAAGCATGAAATTATGACAGCTATCGATTAATTCCCCAGTTTAAGGCACATGGCTCATAAATGAGAACGACAGAAGTTAGATGAGTTCGATGAGAGGCTACCTATGTCGTGATTTCAAAGTCTTCACTGTTAATAAAATATATATATATATATATATCTTCATTATAGTTGATGTGTCTTTTTTGGCTGTGTGTGTTGTGGTGATATTTGCTTCGGTCACTAATCAAGCATAGCCACAGAGCCAAGTATATCTGGTTCTGATGATGAAGTTCTCAACCTAGAAACACTTAATATTTTCTAGAAAGAATTGCATAGGTAATTAAGATGATCTTAAAATGATGTGGCGATGACAATAATGTAGACTGCAACAAATTTACGAAAGAGACTTCCATAAATTTCCATGGTTAAGTCAAAGCATTGTGGGACCAATGCCCTGTGGTCACCGTAGGGAGACGGGCCGTATTACTAGTGAGCTCACAGTCTGCGCTGACATTGAAGAGAATGTCATGCTGGCCGGAGCTGCAACACTGAGCTGGAGCCAGACACGAATGACAGAGACAGCAGGCACACGGGGGCAGGCAGGCGCGTTTCCCGCGGCCCAGCTGATAACTGCGCTTGCGAAATGCTCGGCGGCGGGGGGGAGGGGGGCGGCCCACGATGCAGAAGAGGCCGACGCCGCAGGGCAGGTACTTACTGCCAGGTCCTGCACTAGGCTCTCCTCAAAGGAGTACGTCTCTGTCTCTATCCAAATTCTCTGATAGCCCATGAGGAAGAGGTTAATAGAGCGATGCCTGGGAAGGGGGGGAGAGGAAGATTAGGAGGGGTTAAGGGCTTAAGGTAGGAAGGGAAGACTGTTCGGACCAGGGTGAGCTGGACCTAGGTGGTTAATGGTTAGTGTGAAACAGTGGCTCATCTAACTGGTCGCCAACACTGAAAAGTGGGACATTTCAGACACTAGTCCAAAACCCCCATATTTCATATATACAGAGGCAACAAAATGTATATATGATATATGTAACAATACCCACAGTTAAAAATTTTAAATACATTGTTTAATTACACTCATGCTAAAAAGTAACTTGTGCTTATGCTAAAATCTTGGTCTGGATTTGTACTCTCTGGACCTGTAATGTCCACCTCTTGTGCTAAGTAATACTTAAAATTGGGGGGGCGGGGGCGGGGCGGGGCAGGGGCAAAAACATGACGTCTCTAACACCCTGAATAAATGACTAGAATACACTACTGATGTACCCTCAAATAACAGCACCCTCCAGTTTGTAGGCTGACCAGTTAGAATCCCAGTGAAATCAGTATATGGAAGTTATAATACAAACCATGGCTGGAAGGGGTAGGGGGGGTACAGGTCACAGACGCCGGGTCTCCAAGTCATTACGTTACCGTTAGCATGGAGAGCAGACTGTCATAGTCTGTGTTCTCATGCATTTTTTCCAGCCAAAAGTGTCGATAGGAGTTCAGGAAGTAATTGTTATTTTTGTGCCTGAAGAAAAGGTATCGTCATAGAACAGAGAAGAGGATGTGTCAAGACAGGGAAACGAAAGGGGGGGAACCATGGTTATTATTACCAAAAAATGGTTATTCATACCAGAAAGACATTTAATATACAGTATAAAGCTCTTTAGTATTTAAGGTTGAAGGGAATTAGCTATCAATAAGAAGATAAAGGAATGAGGATGACAAACAAGTCTGTGTGGAAAAAGGAAAACCCTGAAATTTGGTGATTAAACATGTTCCGAAATGAAAACCAAGTGCTAGCTGCAGATTACACTCTCACTCTGCTATACTTCACCTCATAATGAAAGGAGACAGTACTGATGTACCCTCAACTACTCTTACTATGCAAACAGCACCTGGGCCAATAATCAGCAATGAAAACTGCTTCTACCCGCCAGTTTTTGTTCAGCTCTAATTGGATTGCAATAATTTTTCATTCCATGAATGTTAACCAAACATTACAATTAAGGTATGGAAATCATTAAAGTGTCCAGTTTTGCTGATGTTCCCAGAACATTATCTCATTAATACAACTACAATTAAGAATAATAATGTACATAAAAATACAGGTAGTACTGTGGCTTTACACCCCTAAGGTCATGGGTTCAAGGCTGGATGGCGTAATAGTTTTATTATAAAACAATACTTTTCAATATTATGTTAAAATGACGTTCAGGTAATAATGCTACCTTGCTATTATTGACAGAACCTTTCTTCAAATGTATAAAGTGGAAATAACATTCCATGAACATTACAGTAAGAACATTCTCTGCCAATTTTGAGAAGACCTTTAAATAGGGATGCACGATACCGATACCGGCATCGGGTATCGGGCCAATACTGCGCTCATATGCTCATACTCGTACTCATAAAAATTGTCCAATACCAAGAATCGATACCACTTAGTTGCAACATTACATTAAAACTTGAAGCCGTAGCATTTTTGGACATATTTTAGGATGAGGCATGATGACAGAAGTACAGCAGACTGTAAGCTCTATTCTGCTAACGTGTCAAGAAGAGGAAGAGACAGCACGTCATTTAACAGAAGTAATCTGATCAAACATCTAGAGACACCACAGTGCAGCTGCACACGGAGTTCGCTAATATTCTCAGAGAAAGATCGCGACAACAAACTCTAGTGCAAATTCTGGAGAAGCAGGAGAAAATAAAACTGAAGCGTTATATGTACCTAACATTAAATAACTAAATAAGTTATTTAATGTTAGATATAACTAATGCTTCAGGTTCAATTACCAATATAAGTACACCTGGGTGCATGCTTTCTTCGCTCCTATAAAAAAAAGAATGTAACCAAGTGGACCCATCACAGTTGTTGTGGTCTGCATTGCATTGCTGTGATGCGTAATTTCTGGGGAGGTGCACGGTAAGCTATGGCATAGGGTCCACGGCCACGTCGTACTTACGGCGTCTATTCGACGCAGAAGTATAAATGATTGAACTGACAACTGAGGTGGCAAGTAAGGTAAATTAATTCATACTATATATATATATATATATATATATATATATATATATATATACATACAGTATATACACACACACACACACACACATACATATATATATACTAGTGCTGTCAAACGATTAAAATTTTTAATCAGATTAATCATAGGGTTGCTGTGGATTAATTTAGATTAATCACGATTAAATATCATTCATTTTTAATCTATATTAATCGCATTTCATTTTGTATGAGCAAACAGATTCAAGAAAAAAGGGAATATACTGTATATGCACTTAACATGTTTACTGAACATCTTGAACACGAATCGAAATGCAATCCATCTGCCACAGAAGTGCAATACCATGGACCCATATCAAAAAGCAAGATTTTTTGCATAGCCCGACAACTTGTCGGATTTAAGGTACCTCAGTTTAAATGGTCTTTATCTTTTTTCACTTACAATTAGCCCAAACTACCGTAAATCCGACGAATAATCCGACTAATCATGAAATCCAATTCTAGCCTGGTTAATTGCCATTGTTAGCAATATCAGTTGATAACACATTACGCGCTGTGCTTTACGTAGAAAACTTCGTAGCAACACGTCCACAGATAAGTTGGACGGTATAGAGTGTGCGACCGATTTAATGAGCCACAAATGAGAAGTAGCGCTTAAACAGTATAAAACTACAACTTTTCCTTCTATTGATAAAGGCCACAGACATCTTGGATTCTGAACTCGGGATGCTCTGTGCTGCTCTGAGATATTTCTCAGAACTCCAAGAAACGGGAGCGTGCATGTCGTCACTTCCGGCTTCAAAACTCGGAATCTGACTCGGAATATGAGTTCCGAGGGCAAATGGAACGCACCAAAACTGCCCGAAATGGGTTGACAGAGACATTTCAGGGATTTTGAGTCATTCTGCACTACAGATGGGTTAATTGCGTTAAAAAATTTAATCAGATTAATCATGATGATGGATTAATCCGCGTTAACCCGTTAATTTTGACAGCCCTAATATATACAGATATATATATATATATACATACACACATACACACACACACACACACACACACATATATATATATAATGCTTTGAATAGTCATTACATATTATATATGTTTTATAAACGCCGGTATCGGATCGGTACTTGGTGTCGGCTGATACACAAACCCCAGGTATTAGTATTGAGATAGAAAAAGTGGCATCTTAGCAAAAGTTCTGGGAACATCCCCTGTTATCTGGGACACTTGAGGGTGTATAACTGGAATCAAGAGCTTGTGAATCCCGTTAGATGAAACGATTAGAAGAGAGGCATTCTACTGATATGTAAGGGAGTACTGTCCAGAGTTCAACTTGAACAAAGCATCAAAACACTTTCTGTAGTTGTCATTAACCTGGGTTTACTGGAACTGTCACACATGCAGAATTAAACAATAAAAAGTATGCTCAGATAAAGGCTCGCAGAAAATGTCATGATAAACCTTCTGGTACGAATGGTGACTCGTACCTGGGCAGGTTGTAGAGAGGAGCCATGCGAAAGCAGGCCACCACAGCACGCTTACGCTGTTTGGAAAGCAGCTTCTGCCACACACACTTTTTGGACCTCAGCGGCTGCTCCACCTGGTGCAGACGAATAGATAAATAAATACAAATACTGGCCTGAGCAGTCTGGGCTGCTCTTGATAGGAGAACATATTGACACCTTGAACTGGTAAGAGGAGGTGGTCAGCATGAGCTCATGGAAAAAGGCAATGGCTCACCTGCTCCAA